GGAGGAGGAACATCAAAGTGACAAAAAGTCGAGATGGGGATCAGAATAATGATTAACAGATGTGACAGAGACAGACAAAAGAGCAGAGAAAAGGTAGATGAGTACTGTAGGTGGAGGTCGAATATGGCATACAGTGGGGGTAGTTTAAAGTCAGAAGTCAACTGCCTAATAATAGACTTTTTTGCCGTATGAGTATACGTTGCCCAGGGTGCGCCACGTGGAGGTAAGTCTATCGCACACCCCCTGTTTAAGACATTTCTTATAGTCCTTGGCGCGAATTCATTATGTAACTTAAGAGTCGGTTACAACTTTCTCTCAAAAGTTAAGTAAAGCAGACGAAAATGCGATATAAGGATGAATTTATTTAAGAAAAAAATCTACAAAAAACCCTCTAGATAGATAGCATCTCAGCATTAGTCCTCCTGCGATTCTGGATAAGGAATCCACAGAGATCTCAGAGCCTTTTGAATCCGATCAATTTCAAAAGTCTTCGAAACCGATGTAATTTTCGATTCCCAAGTGGCAAAACTATTTATAAGAACATGGCCCTCCTTGGGAATAGCCGAGTCTCCGATGTCATCACATTCACTAGCGATAAAGGCTCCTGAAAACCAAGTCTTCCAAATGCATTCCTTATAGCAACAACACAACACGGGAATCGACGCTACAGCCAACAATTCCGGAAAAATTAATCCACAGAAGCGGTCCATAACTTCAGCCTTCTTCGCCTTGACCAGGTACCTATCCTCCTTTAGAAACAAAACGCACAGGATATTAACTGAATAGAGGGAAAGAAACACCGAGAGATCGACATACATTCTAATAACTTACATTACTGTACGCTAAGTAATGATCAAAATATTCCTTGAGACACTTGTCCAAATCTTGAATAACTCGGGTTAACCACTGGACAGTTTTAAAGGGATTGCGTTTATCCTCGTATCGACATTCGGAGAGGCTTTGATTTTCAGCCGAGAGATCTTTGAATTTCATAAAGTAATGAGCCTTCCATATCCATAATCGAGAGATATCAACTGAAGGCAGGAATTCAGCCTTAAAAATAGAGAAAACTGATTAGCTACTGGAGTTGCAACTAAAAAAAACTTCCTGGTTTTCTTACCACAAGGCTTCCTTCGAACCCAAAATAGGCAATTTAAGTAAAGTCGCTTTTGTAGCTAAAGCTACAGGATGCAATAAATTTTCCAAAATCAAAAGTTCTGTTTTAGAAGGTGGTGCGAGCTGATAGGGAAATGGTGAGTTAGCAGATGGTTTACGCACTATGGGACTGAGAAGATCTATGAATCAGAATGGGTGGGTACTATACGTCACCGGTCACCAAGGTGAACTTGATGGAATGCTAAGGCGAGTTAATTAGGAAGTCAAGAAAGTCCTATTTGAGCCAGCAACATTGAATTCTGTCCCAAATGGTATAAATTACCACCCAAAGGGAAGCTGAGTATAAACAACAAAGTGTTATAATGACAAGAGCATAGGAATATTAGCAATGAAGAAAACAATACTCTTCACCATCAATGAGATTTAAACTCGATTCATTTGAAGATAGCCAATTACTAGGAAGAGGACTTACGCATTTGTGTCCCACCTGAACAGGTGTTTGCAGATCTCACAACTTATACACTGCTCTATCGATTCCCCCCCCCCACTCACATCTGAAAATGAAATCTCGATACCGCCACATATACTGGCTAATCAGCCAGCAACCACCAACCAACAACTGACAAAAGTTAATGTCTTTTCTTAATACATAAGGTGGCATTTGAAGCACAGGTCACTGCGTTCTTCATACTGGCTATGAGAAACTGTTGCTCTGTCAGAGTCTTAAATGCATTTGAAGGTCAAATAAATAATACATTCAATGCCACTTTTATGCTTAATAAAACAAATTCTTCTTATACAAATGAAGATGGGGAGGACATTTACAAATGCGTAAATACTAGACGGGTATCGGTCAGTTCTGTGCAATTTTAGAACGGGTGTAAGAGGATTGTTAAGGACAACGACGTCGCATCATGTTACGATCTGTTTCTCTCTGTGGGTTAACTTGGTCGACTCCCGAATTCCCTTCAGTTACTATTTATAACGACACAGCAAATAAATTGAATCGAATAAAAGGGAGGTAAAAATAAAAAAAACTAAGGATCTAGTAAATCATTGCATTGCTTATGGGAGGGTAGGGGATGCATTATACGTCTTATACTTCGAACATTTCTTGATAAATTCTATCAACAAGAAATTTTGCTTTAGAAAATCATCTAAAATTAGCCACAAACATTATTGATTTGGCTTCCACTTTTGCAACTGCTCACGCGTTTTCAATCTTTCGATCAGTCGGCCTAATTTACCAAATTTTCCCATATCATATTCTAGAGAACTTGAATGAAGGCTTACCAGCAAGTATTCTTCCCAGTGGGTTGCAATTTTTAGCAAAAAAGAAGAAACTAAGCTTAGAGACTCCATTTTGGCGTTGCAGTTAGTGGAGGTTACTTATGGTTTAGTACGTCGGTGGAGCAGTGGACGAGCCACACTCCTGCAAAGTTAGAGACCAAGACGTGAATGACAAACCACACTGACTAACACTGGTAAATAAGAGCGAGTTCCTTATGAAAGTCGCTCCAGAATAAGTTCTCTGTACTTAAATCAAATACGGTTTATACTTCTTATCGACTTAACTTGAGATAAATATAACGGATAAACGAAAGTTAAGGTACCTGCCACTACTCAATAAGCATGTTAGGAAATATTCCCCCTCCCCCCCACAAAGGACTAATCGGGTAACATTTATATTTGACAATGAATAGAATAGGATAGTATAAGCAATTTACTGCTTCGTCGACAGAATGAAGATTGATCTTGTCGAGGTCAGGCAGTTGAGGGAACCACTTGCGAGCTGCAACATAATACGCTGATCTAGTAGGATGAACAACATTTAATTCTGAATATACGCGATACAATGTAGCCCACGTAGTCCACAGTCCACACGCAGTTGTTGCATATCTAGCTAGAGGATTGAAAGCATCCGGTCGTACATCAAGATCTCGTAAAACCAAGGATGTACTACCAGATCTCATGTAATTCAGGAGGAGAAACAGACAGAACTTCAAACGTCTAGCTATTCCCTCCCACATGGCGGAGTCAGTAATTGAAGTCTCAAACAGCTCTCCATGGGCAATATGTTTTCTTAATTTGGGTCCATTGTTCGCAGTAAATATACTCCCAAGAAGAAGTAAGTTGACTGAGCCAACCTGTTGCTCAAAGCGCTGCCAATCTTCAAGTGTAACCGGTTGGTGATTGGATTTATATAACTGCATTTTGAGAATCCCACTCAAAGTTAAGAAGAATCTATCTTCTGAAGTTAAGACACCCGCAGGCCAATCGATTGCCTTACAAAATTCGTTCCGAAGAACCGAGTTGATGCAAAGAACTCCAATACAACTGGCATCAAAATATCGTCGTTTAATGAATAATTCACCAAAGGATTTCAAGAAAACTGCATTGATACCTTCAGGTTCTTTAAGAGTTGGTGAGTATCTATCTTGGATTAAAATTTCCTCCGTTAGGATCTTGAAACACTGCGAGAGCTGCGATTCTCTGATCGAATGAGGAATTATAGCCGCGGTTAGTTGTTCATCAATCGCTATAACAAGTGCGAAGAGGAAATAGAGAATACATTCAGGGACAAGCGTCTCCATGTCGTGGGGAGATACAAAACCATGCCAAAAGATATTTCTCAAATTTAGAGAGTTCACAGGACCAAAAAGAATTTTAAGAACAGAGCGTGTGGGAGGATTGATAAACTCTTCCAAACGCTTATCCTCTAGTGCGGCATTAAAGTGGTTAGGTGAGCGGCCATTTTCATCAATTAGAAGATGAGTAATGGAAAATTCCAGCATTGAAATCACTTGAAGCGTAGCAAGAAGTCGATCAATAGAATCATGTTTTTTAGAATTATTTCGAAGTCGGACAAAGTGAAGAGGCATATTGAGCCACTTAAGACAATAGGGATTGCAGTGAAAGGCATCAATATAGAAGTTTTTCTGGCAGAGTTGCATGGTGTGGGCGATGGATTCAATAGCAGAGAGATAATTCCCCTTTTCGACAAAATCCTCAAGATGATAACCAACGTGTTCCATGTCAATAAATCCATCACAAGTTACACAAGGGCAATTAAAATCATTTGGAGAATCTCTGATTTTTCCACAAGAGTAGAAAAGCTCCTTGGCTCGTGCCGAAAGAAAACTTTCTGGATAGAATTTAGAAGACTATAAGATGGGAAAGTCATCAGGTTTAGTTAAATAAATAAAGCAAGCAAGCGATGAAAAGGTACAATTATCTGCAAGTTGAGCATGTAACTTAATGAGTGTATCTTTTAAAAGTATCTTAATGAATGAAAATGAAAGATTCCATTGTATCAACTGAAATCATGAAAACTGTAACATGTGGAAAATACTATATTACAAGCCATTAGAATGAAATCGTGCACTTACTAAATCAGTTTCATAAAGGGAGGCGAATTAGGGTCAAAGGATAATCTAATTTGCTTCATAATTGTAACAGAGACGTACCATTATGTGAATTGCACAATAGAGTGCAACTTGTCAGATGGAGGTAGTGTTTTTTGTTTACACCAGTAAGGTCATTTAGATAGAGATTACTTATTTCAAACATTGAATACTTTAATCAAATAAATAAAATTATAAATTAACAGACCAGATTAAGCAAATGCTAATTAGTATAGATAAAGATAGAAAAAAACGACTCTTTTGCTAACAAATGCATAAATTAGATATTATGATTTCTGGAGTCTTACTTCAATTTGGCTTATTTGACGCTGTAGTTTTATGGTACAGATTTTTATAGACATGAGTAAAGGACATCGAAAACAGATGTTTATTAAGGTTACAGGTTAAATCAGATGTAACAAAGAAGTAGATTTTGTCCATATCACCTGAGTTCAGATGTTTGTCTTCTATGTGGATCGCGAAAAATATGCTGCTTGGTATAAAGCACTGATTTTGACATCACAAGGAAATGTAACACGAAGACCAAAGTTAGGATTAATAAGGAGCATAAGAAAATAGACAACGACCAACAGTTATAAGCAATAAATCTGCAAATAAAATCGAATATTTTTTGGGCTAAATGCACACATTTCAACGGCACTCTCTCTTAACGAATACTTTCCTTGAAATAGACTGTTTTTTTGTAGTTGGTAAATGTGTTCGCAATTATAGATTTGATGCATTGAAATTTTTGTTTATTCCAAATGGCAGGCGTTTTGTTGCTTGTCATTAGCCCTTTAGCTGACTTCGGACTTCACAGAGAGGGGGAGCAACATCAAAATGACAAAAGTCGAGAAGAGGGACAGAATGTTGATCCACGGATATAAAAGAGACAGACAATTACAAAGGTAGAGAAAAGGTAAGACTAGTACTGTGAAAGGGGTCGAATACAACATATAGACGGTTCATGGTATTTTGTAGTCAGAAGTCAACTGCCGGTTTATAGACTTTTTTGCCGTATGAATAGACGTTGCCCAGGGTGCACCACTTGGAGGTTAGTCATCACACACATCATTTTGTCGAATTGATTTTGTAAGAATTATTATATCAAATGGCAAGCGTTTTGATGGTCATCATTAGCCCTTTAGTTGACTTCAGGCTTCACAGAGAGGAAGGAACATCAAATTGAA